CGTAATTTCGAATCGTCACTAAAAAGTTCACCTCTTCCCCACAGAACCGGTCACTTCACAGTTGTTCTCTTAACCATCTTCAAGTGTCACTGTTATGGCCATCAAGGAGACATAAATGTTGTCAGAAGAGACACTGCAGTGCACAGATTGGAGCCAAATTGGGTTGGGCCAGTAAATCCTGATTAATAGAAGGAGAGGTTTGATACAGAATACTAAAAATGCCCCTGAACTTTCCTCTTTCATTCTTTCTGTTCGTGCTAAAGTGTACAACACTAGGGGACAATTTAGGACAATTGAATGTATATTTCAATCCACATGAGCTTGATATTAAAATTAGGAACCTGTTTGTAATTAACGTGAGAAAGTTATCTCTGTCCTCATAGCAAGTAGGACTCCTGAAATAAATTAATAACCATTTTTGTTTCAACATAGTTCAGCCAAAGAGGTTTTAAAGAAGAGACTAGAAAAATCAAGAAAATCTGAACCCCAGTTTGAGGGTTTTGGCACTGCAATTGTTAGCCTGTCAATGCCGATCTGAAACACAGTCCACAAATTGCATCTGGAATAAATGAATAGATCTCAGCTACATAACAAGAGAGCTGCTTTGCAAAGTTTGCACAGACATGAATGAAATGCTTACAGAAAGGCAGGGAAACCTGGTCATTAGTTTCCCTCTAGTGGCCATTAGTACAAGCCTCATTTTCTTCTCCTGGGCTAGATACATTAATGAAATGTCCTAGGATTTTAATAATTGGGAGGTGCACCAGACCATCCTGTGTAATTGTGCAAAGATACTTGAGACCTGAAAGGATTGGCAACCCCTAAACTAGATAATTCTATTTGTTACCCTCTCTCCTCTCCTCTATATCCCCTGCATCAAATCCAAAGTAGTACTCTCACATGTAGGCTTTCTTGTGATGCAGGAGGAGAAAATGAAGATGCTCACCCTCCAGTCGTCCTACCATGGTATTAGCAGAAGGACTCTTGAATAGGCTGGAAGGGTATCTGCCAGAAGAAAAATGGAGGCCCACGAAGAAAGAGATGGGGAATATCTATTTCTTTGTTAATGTGCACATTTAATGTAAATATAAGAAAGAATTGAGGCCTTTGAACTATGGTGCTGGAGAAGACTCCTACGAGTCCCTTGGACTGCAAGGCGATC